GAGAGATGGCTCAGAGGTTAAGAGCACTGACTGCTCTTCCAGAGGTCCTGAGTTCAATTCCCAGCAACCACATGGTGGCTCACAACCATCTGTAATAAGATCTGGCGCCCTCTCCTGTATACAGATTCCCTATGCCTGGTACCCCAAACTGTGAGCCCAGCCTTCAGGGACTGGAGAGAGGACTCAGTACAGAAGATTGCTAGCTGCCCTTGCAGAGGACCCAGGTTCAGTTGCCAGCACCCACACAGTGGCTCACAATCATCTGTAATTCCAGTTCCAGGGAATCCTATGCACTCTTCTGATTTCTGGAGGTACCAAGCAAACACAAGCTACACATATCTGCATGTAGGTAAAAACACTTATACCCGGAGCTTGAGAGCAGTTAAGAGAACTCAGGCTCAATCCCTAGTACTCACATGGTGGCTCACAACCATCTGTAACTCCAGTCCCGTGGGATCTGAGGACATCTTCTGCCTCCAAACGCTCTAGGCACACAAAGGGCACACAGACACACATGCAGGCAAAATACCCATACACAAAAGTAAACTGAAAAAACAAACAAACAAACAGTCCTGACTCCTCTTGATCTGGCCTCTGGGGTCACAGATATTTATGCCCCGAGTTCCTTCAGTTTCCCCATGAGGTTGAAGGGGAAGGGTACCCCCTTGGCAGCCAACCCCAGTTTTGGGGTAGTGTCTTAATTTAGGCTAGGTTCACCTGGAACTCAGTCTGCATCTCAGGTGAGTCTCTAGTTCATGGTAGTCCTCCTGCCTCAGCTGCCCCAGTGCTGGGATTATAAACCTGAGCCACGGCACTTGTCACAGTCCTCTGGCTTTTCAAGACGTCCCAGATTAATGACCAGAGGCGGATGGCGTGACGAAGCCCGGCCTGGTCAAGGGTCTGCTCCATCAGCCTACTGCGTGTTTACTGGTTTACTATCTGTCTCGTTACCACGCGCTCAGCCCCATCCTGTGTCTGTGCTATATTCTGATCCTTATTCTGGTCTCTGGTAGCCTAGGTTACTGGAAGTCATATCCTGCCCTAGTTTTTGTGGCCTGACCTGACGTTGCTGAGAGTTTCCTCTGGACTTCAGTTTCAGTTCTAATGGCCTCTGTGTCCACGGAACTTCAAATCCCCACGTGTTTTCCCTGCCATGATTCTGCATGTCTGATGTGAGCATCGCTGGTTACAGTCCCCCTCCACGATTCAGATGCCCTCTTCTGCATCACCTTGTATATTCCTGCCTTAGTATTATGGCCACTGATTCCAGGAAGATGCCTTGCCACCAACACAGAGAGCCTTTTCTCAATCTGACTCAAACTCCGACCCTGGACATGTCATATGTGTTATTATTACTTTTTTTTTTTTTTAGACAGGTTCTCACCATGTAGCCCTGGCTGTCTTGGAACTCTCTATGTAGACCAAGCTGGCCTTGAACTCACAGAGATCTGCCTGCCTCTGCATCTCAAGTATTGGGATTAAAGGTGTGCGTCACCACGCTCAGCTTTTTCCTTTTTAAAAAGAGAGTCTAAATTGCCCAGACTGGCCTTCAGCCTTCAGTCCTCCCAGCTCCACCTCCCAAGCCTGGCACAGCTTTTCTAAAGCGTAGTCTTTAAAATGACCAGGGGTCTTTAATCTCAGCACTCAGGAGGCAGAGGCAGGTGGATCTCTGGGAGGCCAGCCTGATCTACATAGTTTCATGGCAGCCACAGCTATACAATGAGGCCCTGCCTCAAGTAAATAAAGTAAAATAAAATAAAGTCAGAATTTCCTTAAAAGAGCTTCATCTAAGAGACCATGGAGCCTCACAAATGGAAGGAAGTGTGTGTTCTTCATTATTGTTTACTGTTCAGAGCCAACCAATTATCCCTCTTCTCCAATTCCAAGGAGTGTTTATGTAGGATTGATTAGACAGAACAATATATTGTCACAAACAACTTCCAGCTGGGTGTAGTGGCATGAGCCTGTACCAAGCACCAAGGAAGCTGAAATAGGAAGCTTGCTGTGAGTTCAGGGTCAGCCGGAGCTACCTAGTGATTCTAGGCCAGCTTGGGCTATATAACAAGACTTTTGTTTTCCGACACAGAGTCTCTCTGTGTAACAGCCCTGGCTGTCCTGGAACTCTGTAGACCAGGCTGGCCTGGAACTCACAGAGGTCCATCTGCATCTGCATCTGCCTCCTGAGTGCTGGGATTACAGGCGTGTGCCACCACCTCTGGCTTAAGACTTTTTATAAAATTAAAAAAAAAAAAAGTCAAGCCTGGTGCTGTACGCCTTTGATCCCAGAACTCAGGAGGCAGAGGCAGGCTGAGTTCTATGAGTTGCACTCAGTCTGATCTACAGAGCAAGTTCCAAGTCGTCCAGAGCCACACAGTGAAAACACAATCTCAAAACAAAACAAAACAAGTGAAGGGGGCGGGAGGTGGGAAAGGAAGAAAGAAGAAACAGCGCCCAATAGGCACTACTTTTAGCACAATGGCAAGGGTGTGTAGGAACCGCTACAACGCACCAGAATTGCGGGGAAACAAACTACAATTCCCAGGGTAGCAACATCTCAGCGGGGTGAAGGGCGGGACTGAACTCTCACAGGAGGCGGGACCAGTCCAGAACCACCCAGACAGCTTCCAGAAAAGGGCGTGGACATGTGACCATCAGGAAGTTACCTGTAGAATCTTTTACGGTGTTTTCTGTTCACAACCTTTCCAGCTACCCCTTAATCGGGAAGCCGTGGACCAAGGAGCCTCTTCTGAAAAAGAGGTAAAGGAAGCTGGACAGAGGGAGGTGGCAAAGATTGGCTACTGTGTTCCCCAGGAGGGTTCAAATAGCCATTCTTTACCTGCTGAGTCAGGTGAAGCGATTCACCGGGCCGCAACCTGCATCTAGGAAAAGGACGAAGAAAGTAGTCATCTGTTCACTTTGAAGACCAAACGCAGACGCATCATCTGCAAGACCCACTGTGTACTGTCTGTGGCCCTTGCTCCACCTCGGAAGGAAGGAAAGGAAGCTGGAGAACTTTGGGGAGCCAAGCAAAGGCCTGCCAGGGCTAACTCGGGTCTGTTTGCGCTAGCCCCAAACGATAGTGATCCATGGCTTCCACCGTATGGGGCGGTGCCCCCTGGTGGGGCCCGCCACCCCCAGCCCCAGCCCGGCCGCTCACAGACGTCGACTTCTGCTCTGGCGCCCAGCTGCAGGAGCTGACTCAGTTGATTCAGGAGCTGGGTGTCCAGGAGAGTTGGAGCGAAGGGCCCAAGCCTGGAGCTGATCTCCTCCGAGCCAAGGATTTCATCTTCTCTTTGCTCGGTAAGTAATTCTCAGCTGTGGGAAGCTGCAAACCCATAGCCTCACCATTCCCCACCCCGGCTCTGGACCACGATCCCTTCACAATCCCTTTTCTTCCTTTAGGTCTAGTTCACCGCCAGGACCCTCGTTTCCCACCCCAGACAGAACTCTTGCTGCTTCGCGGTGGGATTCGCGAAGGCTCCCTAGATTTAGGGCATGCCCCCGTAGGTCCCTACGCCCGGGGACCTCATTATGATGCCGGCTTTACGCTCCTTGTGCCTGTGTTTTCTCTGGATGGCACTGGGCCCGAGCTGATACTGGATCTGGAATCCTGTTATGCGTGGCTCCGCCTTCCAGAGCTGATGTGCGGAATTTCCGTCCGGGAGACCTGGCAGGATTGCCTAGGACCCCCTGTCGCAGAAGAATGTGATTTGACTCAACAAACCCATAGCAAAGAGAGTCCCACGGACCAGGAAAGCTCTGTAGACCAGGCACATGATTATGTCCCTGAGCCTGAGCCGCACACATCTGTGGAAAAATCATCCAATGACCTTTCAGGGTCCCAATCGCCTTGCAACGACATCCCCCATCTTGAAACTCCTGAACCATTGAAAACACTGAGTAGTGACGCCCTGGAAGAGGACGAAAAGCCATCCCCAAAGCCGTCGGAGGCTGCGAAGGCATGGCCCACATTATGCCCTACCCAAGTGGCTGCCTGGTTCTTCGTTAAGCTGGCTGAGGTCGCCGAGTCCCTGATCCCGGTCCCAGGCGCCCCGCGGCTAGTTCACGCAGCTCGCCACGCGGGTGTCACCACGGTCCTCCTGGCCACTCCAGAGCCCCCACGCCACCTCCTGCTCTTCGACCTGATCCCGGTGGTGACCGTGGCAGGCTGGCCTGACGGGGCTCGGAGCCACTCGTGGGCGGGTCCACTGGTCTCTGAGTCGGCTTCTTTCTACCTAGTGCCGGGCAGCCACCCGGGGCAGCAGGGCACCCCTGGATGGCAGCTGTGCTTCGCCCGCCAGGAGCTGGCGCTCAAAGCGCGCATCCCAGCGCCGCTGCTTCAAGCCCACGCGGCGGCCCAGGCGCTGCTGCGCCCGCTGGTGGCGGGGACCCGGGCCGCCGCGCCCTACCTCCTGCGGACCTTGCTCTACTGGGCGTGCGAGCGGCTGCCAGCGCTCTACCTGGCGCGGCCCGAAAACGCCGGCGCTTGTTGCCTTGGGCTACTGGATGAGCTGAGCCGAGTGCTCGAGGCCGGGACGCTGCCTCATTATTTTGTGAGCGGCCGAAAGCTCTGCCTGGGAGACGGCTCCGGGGCCCTGCGCGGGGCATTGGCCCAGCTCCGCGGAGACCCTGCCCAGGCCTTGCGTGAGGCGGTGGAGGAAGCCAAGGTTGCCCGCAAAGGGGGCGGTTTAGCGGGCGTAGGGGGCGGAACCCATTAAAGAGTCTACTCTCAGGGAATGCGAAGTGTTTCCTTTGGCGACAGGGTTGTGGGGGGGGGCACTGCTCCTGCTTCGCATACAGACTGTGCGTCTTGGGTCCACGGCCTCTCTTCTAAAAGGTCTCCCCCAGGGTTCTGCCCTGCCCGAGGCCCATGTTCTTCAAATCTGGCCGGCACCCCTCCTGACCCGGTGCTGCCTCCCGAGACATCTCCCCCGGATTCTTTCAGAGTCAACAGCGAACCGGAGGAATGGCACAAAATGCGGGAACCGGCTTTTGGAAACCTGGTTCTGATCAATGTGGCTTACACCAAAGCAGAGGGATATTAAGGCCGGAGTACAGCCCAGACTGGATGGCACAGGCACCCCCGTTTCTCCACCCCACCCCACCCCCACTTTCCTCTGTCCTCACTTCCATCCCAGGTAGTAGGGTCCCTCTCCATCTTCTCACTGTCGGCCGTTCCACTTGGCCCCCCAGCCCCGCCGCTCCGGGCTTCCTTGGCTCGTTTCCCCTGCACCCCGAGACTGGCAGGCCTTGCCTCGACTCCGCCTGCCTCTGAAACGGTCCCCACTCACAGCTCCCGAGGAACCCCAGGGTTCCGCCCGCCCGGCTTCGCCTCCCTCTTCCCCAGCGTCTCCGCCCCCTGCCCCGCCCCCGGGCCGGCTCGCAGAGGAGGGGGAGCTTCTGTCGCCGCCACCGCCGCCGCCGCCGCCGCCACCGCTTCCCACAGCCGCCGCCGCCGCCGCTCTGCCCGGTCCAACCTCCAGGCCCAGTGCTCTGACTTTGCCGAACCGGGGCGCTCTGCAGAGACATCTTCACTCCTTCCTGGGGGTCCGGGACACCTAGGCCGGCGTTGGGGGGAACCTCTGCTTGCGGGGTGACAGGGAGGGAGGAGCCTGGAGCCGGAGCCCGCGACACCCGTCGCCCGGATCAACAGGACAGGACAGGTTGAGGGGCGTCGGGGAAAGGAAGGGGGTGCTCGAGCAGTCCCAGGAGGACCAGGAAGCCCTGTCGCAGGAAGCTGGGATGCGCTGTGACTTACTAAGGCCTGTTCGCGTTTGAGGAGTGCTCACTCACAACGTGGGCACTCCTCTCTGGGGGGCCTGGTTAGACTGGAGGGTGTGGGATCGAAGCAGGGCCGGCCGCTCCTCGGGGGAATCTAAGGGGCCGCCAGAAAGCAAACAGAAACGACTGATGCTCCTGTTTCGGGGTGACCGAGGGTCCTCCAGGCAACCACCTGGTGTATGCACTAGGAAGGGCTGATTTGGAGGTGACTTCAAAAGGAGTGGAGGGTAACAAAGTGAGGGGATGGCCTCAGCAGCTGGAACCCTGGGGTACTAGAGCCCCAGGGACTGGAACCCCGTGAGAACAAGCATTATCCAGCCAGAGGAACTGGGAACCCCTTCTCATTGGACCTAGACAGCCTGGATATTGAGACATATTTGGGGGGATTTTTTGGGAGGGGAAAAGTGGGAGAGCCACTCCATTTAGAGTATAGCAAAGGAAAAAAACCATCAGGACTGGGTTCCTCTCTGACATTGAGAGCAGCCCAGGGTGAACTGATGTCCCCAAGGCTAAAGACCCACACCCTTCAGAACACAAGAGTAGGCTGGGCGGGAGGGGCCCCAAAATAGGGTGGAAAGAAGTCTGAGGAGATTAAGAACACATCTTGGAAATCTAGGGGGGTCTTGACTTTGGGACAGGGGAAGTGGGGACAGAGGCCAGAGAGGAGGGGAGGGGAGAGCTCTCTTTAGGGGACAAAATTCATGGGTGAGGTCAGCTGAGGAGGGCACAGGCTGTTGGAGCCGCTGGAGCCAGGGCAAGGGCCCAAGGGTGGGAGCGGGTGCTTGTGGGGGGAGGCAAGGGGGTCTGGGGCTTATCCTGAGGTCCTGTGGGTGGGGCGGTGGGGTGGGTCCAGAGCATGCCCTGGTGAGAGGGCTCCTCTAGGGGAGCCCAGGGCGCTCCGGGAGCCTGCTGGTTTCGGGGTGTCTCCTCCCGGGGCGCTATGGCGGCGTTGGCCAGTAGCCTGATCCGACAGAAGCGGGAGGTCCGCGAGCCCGGGAGCAGCCGGCCGGTGTCGGCGCAGCGGCGCGTGTGTCCCCGCGGCACCAAGTCCCTTTGCCAGAAGCAGCTCCTCATCCTGCTGTCCAAGGTGCGACTGTGCGGGGGGCGGCCCGCGCGACAAGACCGCGGCCCAGGTGAGTGTGTGGCTAGGGCGGGGTCTCCGAGCCCCAAGTCCTTCTGCCTGAGACCAGGGACCCTGGAGAATGCAGCCGATCCGGGGGTAGTGGGGGGGGGGTGTCCCAAAAGTAGAAGAGGTGGGCCAGAGCGACCAGAAAAAAAAAAAACCTACGGGACTCTGCTTCAGTTTCCTTCCCCTTTGCCGGTAACGCCGAGTCTCCTTGCTTTCGAGGGCAAGGGGACGGTTTGAGGGGCCAGGTCTAACGGCCCAAGCTTCTCGGCTCCGGTCTGCCCCCCTTCAACACAGGACTCCCCACCCCCACGGTCGTTCGCCTACGTGCGGGTTCTCGCGATTCTTTCCATCCGGAGCGGAGGGACCTGGGGGGTTCTGGACGCTTGGGTCACCCCGAGGGTTTCTGCAGCCCTGGCTGCCCCGCCCCCGCTCCGGTTCTCCCGCCCCTCCACGCCTGGGCGCTGCTCTTCCTGGTCCAGCTCGCCTGGCCAGGAGCCAATCTCGCCAGCTCTCCCCCGGGTGTCCTTGCAGCTCCCTCGTCTGCCAGCCCCCTCCGTACGCCCTCCTTCGGTGACCCTGCGCTCCGAGAAGGGTGCTGAGCACCCCCCTCCCATGACTCCTGTGCGACTCGGAAATCCGATCCTCCGGGCTCGGGGAGGGGGACCCTGTGCTAAGCAGGACCTCGCACACAGTTCAGCCTGAAGACCTGCACCGAGACTTGGGGCGGGGGTCGTACCACTTACAAGGGGGAACGGGGAAACCGGCCGCGAGCAAGCCGCGGGGAAGGACAGGTGTAAGGGCTGGCGTGTGACTCCCGTCCAGGTACGACACTTAGGGAGTCCCTCTGGCCTCTCTCCAGGCCGCTGCCGGCTCCCCTAGGGGTAGCCCCTGGCGGCCTCGCCCCCCCCACCGGCGGTAGGTGTGGTACAGTCCGCAGCCCACCCTCTGAGTGGGACCCAGCCCCCACGTGATGCAGCTTGCCTCTCCATCTCTGTCCCCCTCTTCCTTTCCCTCGATTGGTAAAGAATGTCCCCCATCCCAGGCCAGTTACCTGGCTGAAGGGTAGAGCCTCAGCCTCGGGCAGAACTGGACCCTCATGAGCCAGCCGACTGACTGACAGAGACAGACGGACAGATGGGTCAGTGTCAGACAAGCCGGCGCTGAGCCAAAGCCAGGCCCGCGCCAAGCAAGCGGCAGCTGCAGCAGCAGCAGGTGCTGAGTCAGCGTCAGTCAAGTCCAGTCCCACCCCTCCTTCTGAGGGGGAGCCCCTTCCCTGTGGTCACCTTGCTGCGCACCCCGACATTTGCAAACCCATTTGCCCTGCGTCTCCAGCTCTGCCCGTTGCCTTTTATGTCTCTCTCTTCTACCTCCTCTCCGCCCCTCCCCCAACTCCGGTGGAGAGAAGGAATTAAGCCATTTAAATAAATTTCAATAAATTAAGCTGACGCTCATAATTAGAGAAAGCGGAAGGGACCCACACCCCAGCTTCCTCAGGAACCGAAGAGGGGTGGAGGGAAGCCTGCCTGGAGGGTGAGAGAGCTAGGCCCCCCGGGAACTCTTCTCATCCCCCCCTCCTTCTATCCTGTGATCCCGCCAAGTGTAGGAATGTTTCTGGGAACAGAGATGTCATTTTCAAAGATGAATCTCTCTCTCTCCAGAGCCTCAGCTCAAAGGCATCGTCACCAAACTGTTCTGCCGTCAGGGCTTCTACCTCCAGGCGAATCCCGATGGGAGCATCCAGGGCACCCCAGAGGACACCAGCTCCTTCAGTGAGAGGGGAAGCCAGCTGCAGGGTGGGAAGTGGGGATCCGGGGACAGGAGATGACAATCCTGTCGCCTCTTCAGGCTTTGTCGTCTTCACTCTGTCTTCTTGAGCCCCCGAGGGAAGCAATGGCGCTGGAGCGGGGAGGGGACTCAGATGGGAGTGAGGCCCTTGGGTCCTGATGGCCGCGCTCTACTCCCCCAGCCCACTTCAATCTGATTCCCGTGGGGCTCCGCGTGGTCACCATCCAGAGCGCCAAGCTGGGTCACTACATGGCCATGAACGCCGAGGGGCTATTGTACAGCTCGGTAAGACAATGAGGCTGAGTGGCCTGGGCTACTGGGGACACCCACAGCATATGACCACCCTTCGCCACAGGCAGGACTTGCACCCAGGACTCTTCCTGCTTGAGCTGACCACTGCCTGTTCCAAAAGTGGTCCTCGAGAGTGCATCCCGCTTCTACATGCACTGCTCACCCTCAAGTACCCCAGGCTCTTTGGCTGTCTGGCCCTCTCATCTATTGGGGCCCCACTTCTCAGCCTGTCACCTCTAAACTTCATCTTTACTCTGGAGAGGAAGTAGTAAGGGCCTGGGAATGCAGAGAAGAGATCTTATTTCCAGGGCCCTAGAAGCCTAGTTCCTACCCCTGGGTGGCCTGCCAGGCTCCTCCTGATTCTCTCCTTGCTCTGGTTTCTGCATGGACTCAGTATTGCCATCCTCCTTTCAAAAAAAATATATGGATTATATCTTGGCTGCTTCTTCCCAAGGGCTCCCTTCTGCCAGTGATATAACTCTCTCTCTCTCTCTCTCTCTCTCTCTCTCTCTCTCTCTCTCTCTCTGTGTGTGTGTGTGTGTGTGTGTGTGTGTGTGTGTCCATGCCTCTTCTCTTTCTGGATCTTTGTCTCCTCAGCCGCATTTCACAGCAGAGTGTCGCTTTAAGGAGTGCGTCTTTGAGAATTACTATGTCCTGTATGCCTCTGCTCTCTACCGCCAACGTCGTTCCGGCCGGGCCTGGTACCTAGGCCTGGACAAGGAGGGCCGGGTCATGAAGGGAAACCGAGTCAAGAAAACCAAGGCTGCTGCCCACTTTGTGCCCAAGCTCCTGGAGGGTGGGTATGGGCTCCAGAAAAGGTGGGTCATGTGGGAGGGCATTGACCTTGGCATGAATATTGAGTGTCTCACAGCCCAGGCCATAAACGTTAAACAAGACGACACTGTTGTGATAGGCCAAGACAGGAAGGCTTTAGCCTTTGGGGGTTTGGGGAGCCCTCTTCGTTTGGGTTGGGGTTCTCCAAGGACGAGTGTGTAAAGGAAGGGAGGACTCTCAGAGCTCTGATTCTCCCTGGCTCTCTGTGCACCTAATTCTCCTTCCCTGCTCCTCTCTCTCTCTCCCCTTCGCAGTGGCCATGTACCGGGAGCCTTCTCTCCACAGTGTCCCCGAGACCTCCCCTTCCAGCCCCCCTGCCCCTTGAGCTGTAGTCCCTGGACTGGAGGCTCCCTGCACTTCCGGCGAGCCAGCCACCGCCACAGCCTGCCTCGTAGCCCTGCGCCAGGCCCTGCTGCTCTTCCCCGTTACCACACACATGCCCTAAGCAGCCAGGTCTCACCAGGTGCTGCGCCCCGAGGGAGCTTAGGGGCTGGCCGCCGGGACTTCCGGGGTTGCTGAGTTCTTAGATCCTGGGGCCTAGGAGAGGTTCCGAGATGGGGGTGCCTGAAATGATCCTGGCTGACCACCTATTTCTTTTCACACTAACTCCTCCCCCTCCAAAGAACCCCAGTTTTCCCCAAGATGGCGCTGGGGGTTCCAATGATAAAGCGAGGGAGTTAATACTCCTCACCCTGGCTGAGCCAGTTTCTGAAGCCATGTACTGTATTCTCCTTTACATTGCCACGAAGCCATAGCTTTCCAGGTCGCTCCACTGGCACTCAGAACTCGTTTCCTTCTCTCCCATTCCACCTCCTGCCTTGGTCTGGACAGGTTCTGATCCAGCTGACCACCCCAGCCAGGGCCCTTCTGTGTGCTGTATTAGAACCCAGGCATGGATCCTTTAAGCTTTGATGGACCCCCCCCCCCGCCCCCCGTTGTTTGTTTTTGTTTTTTAAAGAAGAGGTTGAATTCGAGCCCCCTAATGTCGCCACTGGCCTTGGTCTGAAGTGGAACCAGCCTCAGGTCACACCACATGTTAAACCTTCGTATCCCAGAGACACCCAGTTCTAGAGCATGGTGTTCTAGACCTCTTTGGAGCCATACTTCCTCCTGAATCTCGGCTCCAGGACACGGACCATGACTCGCACCCCTTTTTTCCAGGATGGAACTGGGGCCTGTATAGCCATATTATTGTACTAGAGTCAGTTCTAAACCCACTCTTTCACTTCCTCTAGTGATTATTTAAGAATGAGCTGTGGCTAGAACTCAGCTATGATTCATTAAGAACTAATTGGTTCTGAGCTGTGCTTAGTAGCACATGCCTGTAATTCAGCACCTGGGAGACTGAGTCAGAAGGATTTCGAGTTGGAGGCCATCGTGGGCTATAATAGCAAAGCCCTGTCTGAAAAGCCAACACACACACACACACACAGAGAGAGAGAGAGAGAGAGAGAGAGAGAGAGAGAGAGAGAGAGAGAGAGAGAATGCTTACTACTACTAATCAGTACTGAATGAATCAAGAACTACTGCTTGTTTTTCCTAGATAATTTTTTAAAAATCCCCTTCCCTTTAGAATGCTAACCTCACTTTTACATGGTTTCTAGTTTTAGCATTCCAACCGGGGTTCTGCCAGGGAAACAAGAGTCTCGGGAAAGGTACAGGAATTCTGGAAGAATATACCTGGGGCAGCTCAGAGGAGGAAAATGGCATGCTTTGATTGAATTTGCGTCTGCCTTGGGGAGACATGAACACTTAGCTACCTCAGCAGGAATTCCTTCCAGGTCCCTTCTAAAGCTGAGGTCCTTTGCTTGATATGGTGTGGTGCGTTTGTGAGGTGGAGGAAGGAGAATTGGGAATAAAGGGCTAGCCTGGGCTACATAGGGAGTTCAAGACCAGCCTGGGCTATGTGAGAGCCTATCTCAACCACAGAAAACTGAGGTCTGTCAGGATAATAACTCCAGAATAAGAAAGGACAAATAGGGACAGCCTTGATTCCCCCCCCCCTCCCAGCAAGGAGACCCCCAACTCAGCAATAAGTCCAACTTCTCCCTCCTACAGGTCAGGCCTAGGAAATGAGGGGCCTCTTGGGCTCCCAGACCTCATATATCCCCAGAGCTTCTAATTATAGAATTTACTTTACCTTACAGCTTATAACCTCAGCTGAATTTTAAGTACCCAAAAAGGACCTGACAATGGGGACCCTCTAGTAATCTACCCTCGGGGTAGATTCCGAGCCTAGCAGATGTAGGTGGAAAGGACTACGGAGGTCCTAAGGGACAGGCTAGTGCACAAAGGCAGGTCACTTTTCCTCAGGCCCTTTTACTTCTTGGCTTGTTGCAAAAGATGCCCCCCCCCGCGTCCCCCCCAACAGACCCCGCTCAGGCTCCGCCCATCCCCTGGCTCTGCCCTCGGGGGGACTGGGTCTCCAAGCTTTCTCTAATTAAAGATGATTTGTACAACCCGAGTGTTCTCTGCCGTTTGTGAGTGGAGGGCGCCTGCCGTCGCTCCGGGCGGAACCAAGCCTAGAGGGCGGGGCGGGTGGGCTGGCGCCCGGTCCCCCGACAACAGGTGCACATTCCTGGGCGCCTCGTCACTTCCCCTGTCCTGGCGGCTTCGGCCGCTCTCGGGACAAACTCACTGAGCGAAGCGGCAGGGCCATGACCTTAGGGGCGCTGCTGCTGCTTCTGGGGGTGCTCGGGGCGCCCCTCGCCCCAGGTAAGTCAGCCTGGGCCCCGAGGAGGAGGCAATGGCAGGGGGCCATCCATGCTCGCGGCCAGCCACCGGAGCGTCACTTAAGTGCTTCCCTTCGCCAGGCGCCCGCGGGTCGGAAGTCGAAGGCCGACTGCGTGAGAAACTTTTCTCGGGCTATGACAGCTCGGTGCGGCCGGCGCGGGAGGTGGGAGACCGCGTCGGGGTCAGCATTGGCCTCACCCTGGCGCAGCTCATCAGCCTGGTGAGGGAGGGAGGGCGAGCAGCGGGGTGGAGGGCGCCGGGAGGGGCAGCCTGGGGGCGGGGCAGCCTGGGGGCGGGGCAGCCTGGGGGCGGGGCTCTGGGCGGGACCACGGCCTGGGGGCGGGGTCTGAGGCGAGCTTAGGCCCGGAGATGGACAGGCCTTTGGCGAAGCTTGGGGAGAAAACGGGACCAATGAACGCGTTTGTGGGCGTGGCCGCCCTGACAGGCCCAGAATACGGCTCTATGAACCCGCCTGGGGGGGCGTGGCTGGGGGCGGGGCTGAGGCAGAAGGACGGCTAGGGGGCGGGTCTCGGGGCGTGGCCATGTTGGATGGGATGTAGCAGGGTCCAGCAGAGCTTGGTGCTCAGCGACCAAGGAACAACCCTGGGCGGAGATTCAGGGTTGTGTGGACGAGACACTGGCTGTGGCCCGTGACTGAACCCGGAGGTAAAAGGCAAGGAAAGCAGGCGTCAAGATCTGGTGTTTCGAGGCAGGGCTGATCCCCACTCAGCTTCAAGATGGGGTTTGCAACCAGGAAGGTGCGGTTTCGAGAAAGGGGGTAGATTGCTGTGAGAAAGTGACCCCGAGCCCTCATGTCTTCCCACTTCATTTCCTTTCTGCCTTAAATTTTTCCCTTCTAGAACGAGAAGGATGAAGAGATGAGCACAAAGGTGTACTTAGACCTGGTATGGAGACCCCGCGGGTTAGGGAAGGGCCCCGCCACCTTTATATTAATCTCTTGAATGCTCAGCCCAGTAAGATTTTTTTTTGCATAATGACTTCATAAAACATATAGATAATAACCGAAACGGAGGCTTCTATAAACAATTCCTTCCTAATTGTTTAAAACACAAGTTTGGCATCATTAATTTGAATTCTCATCCTGTAAAGGGCCGTGAACTGCAGTTTTAAAACCACTGTAGTAGAGGATGGCTAGTACAGTCTCTTCAATTACTTTTTTTTTTTTTTTTTTTTTTTTGGGTTTTTCGAGACAGGGTTTCTCTGTGTAGCTTTGCGCCTTTCCTGGAGCTCACTTGGTAGCCCAGGCTGGCCTCGAACTCACAGAGATCCGCCTGGCTCTGCCTCCCGAGTGCTGGGATTAAAGGCGTGCGCCACCAACGCCCGGCCTCTTCAATTACTTTTTAATTTGTTTTATTTTTATTTTATGGGTATGGGTGTTTTTGCCTGAATATGTGCCTGCCTGCACCACATGCGTGTCTAGTGCTTGTGGAAGCCAGAAGAGGGCGTCCGATCCCCTGGGACTAGTGTTTCAGATGGTTGTGACTTCCTTGTAGGTGCCTGGAATCAAACCTGGGTCAAACTGTAGCCCGGGTCAGTTACCCTCTGAGGGGGCCCTCTCTCCAGGCCCCCTCTTTGGTTTTAGAGACTGAAATTGTAAAGTGCCGTGCAGGCGGAAGGAAACGAGTTGCTGTGAATCCCAGAGATTGAAGGCAGAGCCAGCCCCTTTCCCCCTTGACCCACAGGTCAGACCTGGGCTCCTCCCCTTTGCACACTCACTCCCCCGAGCATCCTCTCAGACATCCCGAGTCTCTCCCTGGCCTCTAGGCTGAACGGTCCTTTAGCATCTGCTTCCCTAGGAGTGGACGGACTACAGGCTAAGCTGGGATCCTGCAGAATACGATGGCATCGAATCTCTCCGCATCACCGATGACTCTGTCTGGCTCCCTGATGTGGTGCTGCTGAACAAGTAGAGTGTTTCCGGAGGCGTGGGGGGGGCGTGGGGGCGGGGCGGGGGCGGGGCGTGGGGGGCGGGGAGGTAAGGGGTGGGTGGCGTGGGGGGGGGTGTTGTGTTAGCGGAGGATCTCCGGAGGACAGATCCGGATCCCATATGAAAAGATCTCTTTCCTGCAGCAATGACGGAAATTTTGACGTTGCTCTGGACATCAACGTCGTGGTATCCTTCGAGGGCTCTGTGCGCTGGCAACCCCCTGGCCTGTACCGCAGCAGCTGCAGCATCCAGGTTCCCAGGCTGTGTCTGTTCTCAGACTTCCTCACTCCCCAGCTACTCCCAGTCCTGGGGGGGGCCGTAATTCCTCCTGACCCTCGCCTCTTGTTTACCCTGACTTTCCCTTGCCCTGTGCAGTCTGCCATGGTGACGCTCTGCGTTTCCCTGCTGATCCCTCCTCCGTTGAAACCCACATCCAGTGCCCTCCCAGACTTCCCTTACCGGTCCTCCAGCAGCTCGGTGTCTTCCCCTCCACTCAGGTCACCTACTTCCCCTTTGACTGGCAGAACTGCACCATGGTATTTAGTTCCTACAGCTATGACAGCTCGGAGGTCAGCCTGAAGACAGGCCTCGGTCCTGACGGGCAGGAAAGGCAGGAAATCTACATTCACGAAGGGACCTTCATTGGTGAGTGGGCATGCTTCTCACACCCAAGGCTGATAAACAGGCTCTGTTATCGATGCCCAGCGTAACCTGGTGGGGTCAGCAAGGTGGGGGTGTCCATCAACACTGCGAATATGGAAGCTGAAGCCAAGCTCTAACATCTTAATGCCAGCACTTGGGAGGCTGGGGGAGAAGGATTGCTGCATGGTCAAGGCTAGCCTGGACTACATTCAGAGACCGTGATACTTTTTCTTTTCTCGTGTGTGTGTGTGTGTGTGTGTGTGTGTGTGTGTGTGTGTGTGTGTGTGTTTGGTTGGTTTGGTTTGGTTTTTCGATACAGGGTTTCTCTGTGTAACAATCCTGGCTGTTCTAGAACTTATTTTGTAGACCAGGCTGGCCTGGAACTCACAGAGATCCACCTGGCTCTGCCTCCTGAGTGCTGGGATTAAAGGCATGTCACACATAATAATATTAAAAAACAAAGAACCAGAGAAAAATGGAAATTGAGACTTGTTTAAGTTTATTCGAGGGCTGCCTAGCAGTGTGCCGTTCCGGGCACTAACTAGGGCAGCTGCTGCACCTGTGCTTACCTCTCCTGTCCCTCCTCCAGAGAATGGCCAATGGGAGATTATCCACAAACCTTCTAGGTTAATCCAGCGACCAGGGGACCCCAGAGGAGGGAAGGAGGGCCATCGAGAGGAAGTCACTTTCTATCTCATTATCCGACGGAAGCCTCTCTTCTACCTGGTCAATGTCATTGCCCCGTGCGTCCTCATCACTGTCCTGGCCATCTTCGTCTTCTACCTCCCCCCAGACGCAGGTAACCAGCAAGAGCTTCAGCTCTGTGTCACTAGCCCAGCCTCCCCTCTCACCTTTAGTCCAGGTTGGGTTATCTTGTTTCGTTTTGTTGTTTTTAAGGGGTGTGTGTGTGTGTGTGTGTGTGTGTGTGTGCACTCACAAGTGCCCATGGAAGTCAGAGGTGGGATGCTGGATCCCCTGCAGGTGGAGTTCCAGACATTTGTGAGTCTCCTGAGACAGCTCTGGGATCAGAACTGCAGTCCTCTCGTTTGCTTGTCTGTAGCTGTGATAAAAGACTGCCCGAAGCCAGTCTATGGGAGGAAAGGGGTTTATTTGACTTACAGGGCACACTTCATCATTGCGATGAGCCAAGGCTGGAGCTCGAGCTAAGTTAAGCCGGGAAGGAACCCTGCTGCCTGGCTCACTTCCTCTGACTTGCTCAACTACTTTCCTTGTACAGTCCAGGCCCACCTGCCCGGGAATGGCACTGTCCACAGTGGACTGGGCCCTCCTACATCGATTAGCATTAAGAAAATGTCCCCCCACCCCCGATCGGGCGGTGGTGGTGCAGCCTTTAATCCCAGCACTCGGGAGACAGAGCTAGGTGGATCTCTGTGAGTTCGAGGCCAGCCTGGGCTACAGAGTGAGCTCCAGGACAGGCTCCAAAACTGCACAGAGAACCCTGTCTCAAAACGCCCCCCCCCCAAAAAAAGAAAAAGAAAATGCCCCCATACATGCCCACATGTAATTCCTCAACTGAAGTTCCTTTTCCCACATGTGTCAAATTGACAAATTAAAGCCAGTCTTGACAAGCAGCAAGTGTTCTCAACTACTGAGCCATCTCTCTAGCCCCAGGATAGGTTTTCCAATCCATGATGGATTGGATATCAGCAATCCGAGGTGCGCCCCCCTCCCCCCGCCCCCTGCACAGGCCCTGCAGCTCCTCTGCTGCCGGCTTCTCCTCACCCAGTAACACTTCACTCTTCCCTTTAGAATCCTGGCCTCCTGTTCTCAGAGCTCCCATGTCCATGACAAACCAAATTCCAGGCTAAGCCAACTTCCTGTTTTCTGCTTCCCATCCCCGGCAAATAACCCCCTCCTCCCTTTAGACACCAGCTGGTGCCTCAACTGGCTGTCCCCCTGGGAAATGACAGTTGACTTTTCTCTGTAAGGAAGTACAATGTAGTCACAGGGTAACCTGGTCAAATTCCTTAATGACTGTGTGTCTGAGTTGCCTGATCAGGAAATGGGACAGCCACTGTCCCTACTGCATAGAATTATTTTAAAGATTAACTGGGTTAATAAAACTATACCCAGTACCTAGCTGCATCTATGTAAATGTGCTGGTTTTTGTTTTTTGTTTTTACTACTTTTGAGCAGTTGATGTAAGGTAATGCAATTGAATTATATGTATGCATTCTAATCTTTACAATAACCTTTCAGGTGAGTTCCACATTGTCATCCCCTTTTGTAGAGAAGGGTAAAGGAGCTGAGGAAGTTAGTTCACTTGTCTGGTATCACATTCAGGTCAGTGCCAGTCTTATTCAGAGACCTTGCCGATAGTGTTTTTCTTCCTTCCTGCACTTGGGAAACTGAGGCAGGAGCATTACCAAGAGTTTGAGGCCAGTGAGTAGTAGGGTCTTCATAAACAAGACCCTGTCTCAAAAAATATTCCAAAAAAACAAAGTAAGCAAATATGAAAACAAATAGACAAAGCCCTGTATTTTCCTCATTCCTGGCATCAAGTCCTCTGTCCAGAAAGGGAGAGAGATGCCGTTCAAGAACATACTTCCGGGTCCAGCAAGATGGCGCCCCAGGAAAGATGCTTGCTACCAAGCTTGAGGGCTTGAGTCTGACATGGAACCCACAAATTGTTCTTGGACATCTCCAGGTGCTCTATGATAGGAACATGTACAACACACACACACACACACACACACACTGTTAAAAAGAAAAAGAACCTGCTTACAAATATACTCACTTCCTTCTAGAACAGGGCAATCTTGGAACCTAATATTACAGGACCAAAATAGAGTGAACAGTATAGCTTATTTATTTCAGTACCTTTCATGAAGTGTGTGAGGTCTCTTGTATGACACAGGAAGAATCAGCCACTTTTGTATACCGTTTTATTTTTAGAGTCTTCAAATTGCTACATTGTTCTTGGAAAAGCTACAGAGATTGGTCCATTCATTCATGCAACTGTATCTGTGGAATTGCTGTGATATGCTAGGCACTGCAAAGGCACCAGGGAATAAAAATTATAAGATTGGATTGAGGGGGTAGGGTAGCTCAGTGCTAGAGCAGGGATGGGTGGCGCTTGTGTACCATACCTGAAGCCCTGAAGCCCACCCCTCCAGCTGGGGGAGGGGAGATAGCAAGGGCTATAGTTTAGGTGGCAGAGTGTTTACCTCGTTTGCATGAATGAAGCCCTGAGTTCAGTCTCCGGAACCCATCTATAAACAAGCTAACCAGTAAATAAAATCACTGACCTTCCTGGGTATACATTCTAGTGGGGAGTCCGTCAGTAAACTGATGTCTACCATCGTATATTAGAAAAGGATTTTTTTTTTTTGTTGTTATCATTGTTTGGTTTTTTTTTTGTTTGTTTGTTTGTTTTGTTTTTCAAGACAGGGTTTCTCCCTAGCCCTGGAAATCCTGGAACTCACTTTGTAGACCAGGCTGTCCCTGAACTCAGAGATCTGCCTGCCTCTGCATCCTAAGTGCTAAGATTAAAGGTGTGTGCTACCATGCCTGGCTTCTGGACAAGTTCTAAAAAGGAAAATCAAATAAGAAGGGGTTTGGGAAGATTAAAATGGGGGTGGACTCCTATATAGTAGCACTCAGAGACAGGACAATCGAGAGTTTGAAGCTAGCCTGGGCTACATTCTCAGCTACAAAGTGAGAACCTGTCTCAGAAAAGGACTCGGGCTGTAACTGACATGGAAGAGTGTTTGCCTGTTACGCATGAAGCCTTTAACACCTATTACAGAATGAACTAGGCATAGTAGCAAAACCCTGTAATCCTGACACTTGGGATGGGACTGAAGGTAGGAGGATCAGAAGTTCAAGGTCATCCTCTGTGCATTGTGAGCTCAAGGCAAGCCTAAGATTTGTGACATCTGGTCTCAAAATTCAAACAGACCTAGAGAGATGGCTCAGCTGGTTATGGCACTTGCTGCCAAGCCTGATAACCTGAGTTTGATCTCTAGAACGTACATGATGGAAGGAAAGAAGACTGTGACGTGTTGTGCGTGCTGTGGCGTGTGTGTGTGTGTGTGTGTGTGTGTGTGTGTGTGCGCGCGCCGTGGCACTTGTGCCCACACACATACATACATACATGGTTACAAACACAACCCCCCAAGATAAAATGTGATGAAACAAACAAAAACACCAACTGAGAAAAACACCAGGGGCTGCTGCATGGCTTTTTCGATACAGGGGCTGAGTATCCCAGGGTGACCACAGCTCACTACACAGCTAAGATAACCTTTAACTTCTGATCTTCCTGCCTCTATCTCAGGAGTGCTGGAATCACGGGCATGCATTGCCACACCAGTTTATGGGGTGTTGGGGATTGAACCTAGGACTTCCTTATGCTAGGGTAGTACTCTACCAACCCACTACATCCTCAGCCTCAAAGACTGCAATTTAAAAGCAGAATCTCTGGGTCTGGTCCTCACCACCAAAGAATAAAATGAATAAGTAAATAAATCAATAAAAATTGGCTGGGTGGTGTTGGCACACGCCTTTAATCCCAGCATTTGGGAGGCAAAGTCTGGCAGATTTTTGTTAGTTCAAAACCAGCCTGGTCTACAGTGAGGTCTAGGACAGGCTCCAAAGCTACACAGCAAAACTCTGTCCTGAAAATCAATAAAAATAAAAATAAAAGCCTGTGCCACCACTGCCCAACTTAGAACCTATTCTTGAAAACTGTCCTCTGGTAGCCACTCAGGGGCCGTGGCTCTTGTTCTCCCGTATGTGCACACGTGTGTGCACATACACACAAGTACATACACATACACACAAAATAGAGAAAAGATAGTACAATTTTTAAAAATGAGTAAAGTGTGATGTTAGCAAATGCCTCAACAAGAAGGGAGTGTGTGCCGTTAAGGAGGTAGAGAATGGCCCTCAGGTTTCTGGTGGGAGAACTTGTCAGGTAGGGAGACAGTAAGTACAAAGGCCCTCGGGAGTGAGGATGTCTGCATTCACAAAACAGGGAGGCTAAAATATATATATATATATGGTGGGCATGGTGGTGTACACATACTCCCAATACTTAGGAGACTGAGGCAGGGGGATCACCTTGAGTTTGAGGCCAGTCTGGGGTATATATAGTAAGTTCCAGGCCAAACTACAATGTGAAGCCCTCTCTCAAAAGAAGAACACAACAAGGCCAGGCGGTGGCGGCGCACGCCTTTAATCCCAGCACTCCAGAGGCTGAGGCAGAAGGATCTCTGTGAGTTCAAGGCCAGCCTGGTCTACAGAGTGAGTTCCAGGACAGCCAGGACTATTTCACAGAGAAGCCCTGTCTCCAAAAAACCAAAAACAAAAACCAAAAACAAAAAAGAGCACAAGTGTAGTAGCATAAGCCTTTAATCCCAGCACTAGAGCCCTGAGTTCAAGAGCAGCCCAAGCAATACAGCAAGTAATTAATCTCAAAACAAACACAAAAGGTGCTTCTTTGGACGAAATATCATTGCACTTTAAGATGCCAAGTGTGGTGACACATGCCTTTAATCCCAGCTCCCCTCCCCACCAACTCCCCTCCCACCCCCACCCCCACCAGACAGAGGTGGGAGTATCTCTGAGGCTAGTCTAGTTTATATAGTGAGCGCCAGGCCCACCAAGGCTACATAGTGAGGCCCTGCCTTAAAAAAAAAAAAAAAAAAAAAAGCAGTAGCAGCAGGCAGCTCTTATCTATCGACCAGCATGGGCTGCCGGTGGGGATCCCCAGAACTCACTGCCTGCCTAGCCAGTTGGCGAGCTCCAGGTCCAGTGAGAGACCCTGACTCAAAAACTAAGGTGGGGCGTCATGGCACCCAACAGCAACTTCTGCCTCCCATGAAAGCTTATATACAGTGCACACACATGTATTAATAAAAAATAACTAGCCAGGCGGTGGTGGTGGTGGTGGTGGTGGTGGTGGTGGTGGTGGTGGTGTGGTGGTGGTGCACGCCTTTAATCCCAGTACTCGGCAGGCAGAGCCAGGCGGATCTCTGTGAGTTCGAGGCCAGCCTGGTCTACAGAGTGAGTTCCAGGAAAAGCGTAAAGCTACACAGAGAAACCCTGTCTCGAAAAACCAAAACAACAACAACAACAAAACAAATAAAAAATAACTTCTGAAGACAAATCAGGGAGAAAGTAAACCTAGTTTAGTAGTAACGGGAAATGAGTATCAAGTTAGGGAGCTAATAAGAAAGGCTGATAGACCACGGTAACAGTATTCTGTGTGTGTCTCCTTTTAAGACAGAGATTTATGTAGCCCAGGCTAACCTTGAACACAATATGTAATTGAAGCTGGCTGATGCTCCTGCCTCTACCACCAAAGTGCTATTGCTATAATGACATGCTAGGCCTAATTTGCCTTATATGTTAGTGAGATAATAACATGGTAGCTGTATCTCAACCTTCTCTAGAAAAAATTTTGACTTGAACCCAGGGCTTTAAGCACACAAACAGGGCTAGCACTCTACCAACTCATTTGGCTCCCCAGCCCTTCCCAGCCCTCTGCTTGCCTCACTCAGGAGTCAGGTTGGTCTTGAATTCATTCTGTAGCCAGAAGCAGGCTTTGCACTTGAAATCCTCCTGTCTCAGCCTTGAGTGGTTGGGATACAGGATTGTGCCAAGCCTAGCTAGAACAGCTTTGATAGTGAGGAGATTAGGCTGTAGACAGGTTAAGTTTAGGGTGTCAACAGAAAAGTTGAGTAGGCATTTGGATTTAAGCCTGAAGTTCAAAGTAAGTCTGGACTAGAGGAACAAACATCAGAGAGATTTGCAAATGACTTTCCCAAAAGCCTGCCCTTAGGTTGGAAACACAAAGATTGATGATGCCTTAGAGGCTTCTTCCTGATAAAGACTAATCCTTCTGGTAGTGTGTTAGCCTATGTCTTTAATCCCAGCCCTTGGGAGGCAGAGGCCAGCCTGGGCTACACAGGAGTCTTTGTCTCCATAAAATAAAATGTTTTTTCTTTTTCTTCCTTCCTTTCTTTCTTTCTTTCTTTTTTAAGACTAACCCTGCTTTCTCCTCTGCCTTCCAAGGAGAGAAGATGGGGCTCTCGATTTTCGCCCTGCTGACCCTCACTGTGTTCCTGCTGCTACTGGCAGACAAAGTGCCTGAGACCTCCCTGGCGGTCCCCATCATTGTCAAATATCTCATGTTTACCATGGTCCTCGTCACCGTCTCAGTCATCCTCAGCGTCGTGGTCCTCAACTTGCACCATCGATCACCCCACACCCACCAAATGCCCTTTTGGGTCCGCCAGGTAAGAAGGATCTCCTCCAACCGGTCTTACTTCCGGATCTTATAATCAACCAGGTGAGGGAAAGGATGAGGCCAGCCTGGGCTACACAGTTACACCCAGTCTGCAAATGACCGAGAAAAAAGATTAAAAGAAGGAAGGAAGAGCATCCTTGTGTTTGGCTTTGTGTCTGGAAGCTGCTCCAGCCACCAGCCTGGACTTGACCTTAAGGACAACTACAGCTGGCATCGTGTTGCAGTGCAGGAGCCTGCTGGATGGTTTATTTTACCTTCCCATCCTAATCACCTCAGAGATCCAACACGCCCTTCATCCATTCTGCTCACCTAGAGGCCCAGACAAACATTATTAGGGGCAGATGCCATCAGGGTAGAAGACTTTTGACCCCTTAATTTTTCAGGACACAGCCCCTTAAAGATTTTTTTGTCTTGTTTTTCGAGACAAGGTTTCTCTGTGCAGCCCTGGCTGTCCTGGAACTCAACTGTACACCAGGCCAGCCTCAAACTCAGGGATGCACCTGCTTCTGCCTCCCAAGTCCTCGGATTAAAAGTGTGAACCACCACTACTGGCTTAAAAGAGCTCTTTAAAAAAAATGATAATTTTATGTTTTGTGTATGGATGTTTGGCCTGTGTGTATGAATATTCACTACCTAGTGTTGCTGATGCCTGGAGAGGCAAGAAGAGCACCAGACTCCCAGGAATTGGACATACATACAGGTGACTATGTGCCACCATGTGGTGCTGGAAATCGAACCGGGGTCCTCTGGAAGAGCAGTTGGTGCTCTTAACCACTGAGCCATCTCTCCAACCCGCATTAAAAATCTTTTAAGAGGTTAAGAGCACTGACTGTTCTTCCAGAGGTCTTGGGTTCAATTCCCAGTACCCACAGGGCAGCTCTCAATTGCCTGTAACTCCAAGATCTGATACCTTCATGCAGGCATACATGTAGGCACATCAATGCACATAAAATAAAAATAAATAATTTTAAAAATCTCTTAAGCAGAAATGCCATGGTGGCCCACACCTTTAATCTCAGCACTGGGGAGACAGGCAGGCGGACCTCTGATTTAGAGGCCAGCCTGGTCTACGTAAGTTCCAGGACAGCCAGGGCTGCACAGAGAAACCCTGTCTGGAAAACAAAAACAAAACAAGGCCAGCTGCGCAGTTGCGTTTGCCGGTGTAGCTCAGTGGGTCCGTGAGTGCGCATGCGCGGCAATGAACACATGGAGTGGGGACAGGTAGGGGCTTCCTTTCTGCTTTGAAAGCATTAAAGCCCTCTGCAATGTGCCACTCACTTCTATAGATCTTCATTCACAAGCTCCCTCCATGCCTGGGTCTGAAAAGGCCCAAGCCCGAAAGAGACCAACTGCCACATCACACTTTTACTCCAACAAGTGGCTGGGGCCGAGGAACTGATGAATATTTCATCCGGAAGCCTCCAAGTGATTTTCTTTTCCCTAAACTTAACAGGTAAGACCTACACTCATCAGGCTCTCGGGCAAGGGAGAACTACAGCTCCCAGAAGTCCGTGGAAGAGCTCCCGAAGATAGTGTGGTCTAGCATCATGGGAGTTGTAGTAGCCCTGCTGCTGCTTGCTTTTCGAGAAGGTGGCATTTTAAAGCTTACAGGGCCAGAAATTTGCCAAAGTCTGGAGAGGTCGGTGCTGGCAGGGAGATCAGGAAGGGCTTTCTCAGGTTCTGGGAACGGCTAGGCTGTTGGAGGAGAGAGCTGGTGCAGGGGCTAGGCCACCGGAACTGCTTGATCTCTTTGAACCCAGTGTGTGGCTACACAGTTCCTGCCCTTACAGGTTTCAGCCTGAATTATCTGCCCCGGACCTGCGACGATTTATCGATGGCCCAACCCGGACTGTTGGTCTGCCTCAGGAGCTACGCGAGGTCATTTCTTCAATCAGCTACATCGCCCGACAGCTGCAGGAACAGGAGGACCACGATGCTGTAAGTCCAATGAGGTTGGAGCCCGCAGGCTCCACCCCCAAGCTCAAACCCCGCCCCTGGCAGTCCCTTTTGTTTCTGATCAGTGTGCCTGGTTTCGTCCCTCCTCCTGCTTTCCAAGTGGCTCTTTACTTTCCTATCTAGGTGGTGCCCTGGTTCTTGGGCAAATTGCCTTTTTCTCAGATTCCAAATAGCTACCTATACCTTGGGAGAAGCTTTAAGGGGTGGGCTTTCCAGGGCTCCAGCCCTGGAGCTTATTTACTTATCTGTTTATTTTTCTGCCTACCCTTAGCTAAAGGAGGACTGGCAGTTTGTCGCCATGGTTGTGGATCGTCTTTTCCTGTGGACATTCATCGTTTTCACAAGCGTCGGGACCCTGGTCATTTTCTTAGATGCCACGTACCATTTGCCCCCTCCTGAACCTTTTCCCTGAGGACCGGAGGGCCATTTTTGCCAACGGTTGCAAGTGCTCTCAAGCTGTGACCACTTAACTCCTGTAAAAATCTAGTTTCTGGGAAGGCGTTGAAGTGAGACTTGGGCTGGGTAGGTGCCTTAAATGTACCTGAAATGTCATTATTTAGGGTCTCGTCCTTCTGGGTTTTTTGTTTTTGAGACAGAGTCTCACCCTGTGGTCCAGGCTAGCTGGCAACTACGTATCCCAGGCTGGCCTCAAACTCACAGCAATGTTAGTTCCTTAGCCTACCAAATGTTGGGATTATAGGCCTGGTGAGCCAGCGCACTTGGATTTGGATTCTTGAAGTTACACTGAATGTCACAGCTTTGATCCCTAACAAAATAGAATTATACGCAGTAGATTGTAAGCCTTTTGAGGACAGGAAATGTGTTAGCGACTCTAATGTTCCTAGGAATGTACACAGGTCCTAGCCCATAAGTGCTTAATATTTATTTAATGAAGAGAGGGGGGATAATTCTGGAAGGAAATATAGAAAATATACTGGCTACAACTGAATGTAAAAATTGTCTATTTTTAACTTTCTATAATTTATTTTTTTGTAATGATTATCACCTTTAAACTGAAAAGGTATTTCTAAAAGGTCTGTATTTGCAATGAGAAAACATTAAAACCAAACCAAAACAAAACCTTTCAAGATCCAGGAGTGGTCAGGCAGTAGTGGCCACACGCCTTTAATCCCAGAAGGAGGCAGAAGCAGGCACATCTCTGTGAGTTCGAGGCCAGGCTGGTCTATAGAGCAAGTTCCAGGACAGCCAGGGCTACACAGGAAAACCTGTTTTGAAAAACCAAGATCCGCCGGGCGGTGGTGGCGCACGCCTTTAATCCCAGCACTCGGGAGGCAGAGCCAGGCGGATCTCTGTGAGTTCGAGGCCAGCCTGGGCTACCAAGTGAGCTCCAGGAAAGGCGCAAAGCTACACAGAGAAACCCTGTCTCGAAAAAACCAAAAAAAAAAAAAAAAAAAAAAAAAAAGAAAAACCAAGATCCAAGAGTGGTGGTGAATGCCTGTAATCCCAGAATTTGGAAGATAGAGGCAAGGGGATTACTACAAATTCATGGCCAAAATCTGATACATACTGAATTCAAGACCAGTCAAGAAAGAGAGAGGAGAGAGGAGAGAGGAGAGATCACATTCATGTCAGGCATAACGGCTCATACTTAGAACCCCAGCATTGGAAGGTTGAGGCAGGATTGCTGTGGGTTTCAGCCAGGTTAGGCTGTAGAGCGAGACCCTGTCTCACACAACCTTATTCAAGCTCTAATTCTGGGACATAAACCATTAAACCGCTCAGAATCTGTTTCTGTATCTGTAACATGAAGCAGATAGTAGTATACACCCATAGAGAATTCCTATATATCAGAGCTCTGAAACTGATGGGCTTTGGTTTTGGTTGTGGTTTGGTTTTTGTTTTGTTTTTGTTTTTTCAAGACAGGGTTTCTCTTGCGCCTTTCCTGGAACTCCCTCTGTAGTCCAGGCTGGCCTCGAACTCACAGAGATCTGCCTGGCTCTGCCTCCCGAGTGCTGGGATTAAAAGCGTGCGGCGGCGGCGGCGGCGGCGGCAGTACCGCCGCTGCCACCACCACCACCACCACCACCACCCAGCTGGTTTGGGTTTTTTTGTCTATGTTCTTGGGTTTGTACAGGTCTTATTAGTTTGTTTTGGAGTGGTTGGAATTGAACCCAGGGTCTTGAGAACAGTAGGCAAGTACTCTACCCTTGAACTACTTACCAGCCCTTATTTTCCCTTCATTTTTGATTTAATGGTTTTGTTATTGTTGCTTGAAACAACTTTGAACTTCTGATACTGCTGTCTCAAGTACTGGGATTATGGGCATATACCACGCCTGTTATTGTTTGGGTTTTGTTTTAGAAACAGGATCTTAGTAAGTTGTACAGTCTGACCTTCAACTCACTCTATAGCCTCAGACTTTCCATTTTCATGCCTTTGGAATAACTGGGATTATAGACATGCATACCATGCCCTACGGGCTGGTTTTTTGTTTTGTTTTTGAGACAGGATCTCGCTATGTAACCCTGGCTAGCTAGCCTGGAACTTATGTAGACCAGGCTGGCCTCAAACAGAGATCCACTTGCTTCTGCTTCCTGAGTGATGGGATTAAAGATGTGTAATTTGAAATCTGAATTAAGGGCTGGAGAGAGATGATGCTGAGGTTAAGAGCATTGGCTGTTCTTCTAGAGTGCCAAGGTTTGATTCCCAGAACCCACACATGTAACTCCAGTCCCAGGGGATCCAACACCCTCTTTCCGGCCTCCTCTGGCACTGTACACACGTGGTGTATCCACATGCAAACAACACACGCACACATAAAAGGAAAAACTATTTGAAGCTTGGTACCTTTAAAATTGGTGTATTTCACAGACATTTGGATTTCAGGCTTCTCTTGAAAACGTTTATAAAACTAGTGCCGCTAGACCCGCGACTGTCGACGGCAACCTGCTAGGGCTTCTCAGTGGCTGCCCACTCTGGCCAGGGAGTTCACACGGGAGTTCCTCCAAAGCTCCCGTCTACCTGACCAGCCTTGCTCACCTTCCCAACTACCCCTGTATGACACACGAGGATACAGAGCAGGCAAGACGAAGCCAGTGAGGACGCAGGAGTGAGGAAGAGCTCTCGGGGCCATGATGCAGTTTCTGCCCCAGTGTACCTTCAAACTAGAAAAAGAGCTGGGCCTGGTTTAAGGCAAAGGTTAGTCTGGGACACAGAACTCTTGAACCTAGCACTTGTACTCATTGAGGATGTTTCTAAAGGAGGGGGCACTGCATTTTAGAGAAGGGGCCTTGTGAAGCCCAGGTTAGCCTGGAACTCCATGTGTAGCTGAGGATAACCCTGAACTTCTGATCCTCTTGCCTGCACCTCCCAAGTGCTTGTATTGGAGGCGCGTGCCACCACGTTGGACTGAGAAGCAAACCCAGGGTTTCCTGCGTGCTAGGCAAGCACTCAGCTGACTGAGTTCAGTTCCAGCTCCTGAGTTAATGTCTCTCCCTGGAGGTCAGATCAGTGAACTGGAGCACCCAGAGCGGCTAGCCTTCTCTCAGCTCAGCTGCTGGACATCGGTCCTGGGAGGGGGCCTGGGCTACAGGTCTCAGGATCCCTTAGGAGCAAGGGAAGCCAGTGCCTGCCCCGACCCAGCAGCCACACAAACAATCGCACCTGGCGCCCCACTGTGAACACGGTTCATTTGTCTGCTTGGTTTATTGTCCTGGAGAATCGGAAACACACACAAATCTGAGATAAATATTGGTCAGTTTCTCTAAATCTGGGTCCTCACTACGGATAGAGCTAGAGTCTGTAGAATTCTAAATCTTGCGTGCTATGGCACAGAACCAGTGGCCTTCCCACTCCATCACCCTCCTCCTCAGGGAACACGGGGAAGAGGGCACAGATCGACAAGACTTGATCATCTCCAAATGACAAAATTGCAAAACCCCAAATTTCCAATACCTGAAACTCACGATATTGAAACTTTCCAGCTCAAATACATATTTTTAAGTTTCTGCTTTACAACATCTTTGTTGCCAAATTCTGGAAGCTATTCTCCTTACTCTACCCATATTAAAAAATAAAAATAAAAACACCTACAATCTTAGTTCTTCCAAAAGGTCTGTGGTTTTGTCATTTTGACCTATTCTGAAGTTCCGATTCCACAGCCCATCTTGAGCCTTTCTGCTCTCCTGACGTCCTCAGAGGAGCACTGGTGAAGGACCAGGGGCTGTCGTCACACCTGCCCCTGCCTGCAGGCCTTCCTCAGTCTCTCTTGTGGTTCCGCTGTATATATAGATATATTTATATATATAATTTGTGTGTAGATATATATATGTATTCTTTATTATGTACTTTTTGCAGTTTTTCTAAAGTGCCAGAAACAAGATTTATGGGAATTTTTAGTGATTTTTTTTCTTTTTTCTTTTTTTTTTTCCCCATTTTTTCCCTGTTTGAAACTTTTTCCCCCTTAAAAACTGGAACTTGGTACATTCAGTAGGAAATTCTTCACTCAGGCTGTGGCCAAGACCAAGAAAAGTGCAAAGAGACAGAGGAGGGATGGAGTGACCCCTCCCTCCGTGATTAACATTCAGGAAGCCTGTCAAATCCTCCCCTCCCTGTGTACCAGGGAGGTTGGGAGGGGCAGGAGGATGCTCCTGGCCTTTCCAAACTCACCTCCCTCAAAGGCCATGATCTTGCCCTCTCCACAGTGGGTCAGAGGGCAGCCATCTTGGCCCCAGAAAACAGTAGCTGAGAGAAAGGCTGTCATTTTGATTAAAACAGTCTTTCTCCTTTTAAAAGTCATACTCCTCTAATTCCCACATCAAACTTGCTCCCCAAAACTGGCTCTCCCCTTGTGAGCTATTTTGTTTTGAGGGGAGGGGAGGTGGGTAATATGGGAAATATCCACCTAATCACACATTAGGGAGGCCCCATTTTCAACAAGAAGTAGGAACAAATATTTATCTTCCCCACTGGAAGGAAACATAGGGACCCCTGACCAGGGTTAACTAGTGCAAATTAGGGATTAGGGACTATTTAAAATCCCTGCACCCCATCCCTAGGCTGGGATCTTTGGGTGTGGGGAACTGAGTCAGAGGGGTATAAGGTGCTATTTTGGAGGCAAAGTCGGCGGGGATACCCCAAAGCCCACCAGGAGAGGAGGATGGGTCCCTCGGAACCATCTGGAGTGACTGGTGAGGACAGTGACAGCAGAGGGACAGGGCTAAGGGGAGGATGGAAGGTTGTGTGCAAATCTTGGGCTCACCCACACATCAAACCCCCATCGTTTTTCTGGCTATTTGGTCTAATCTAGAAGAAACCAGAGTGAGGGCTTGGCAGGGAGAAAGGAGAGTCTCTTCTCCATCCTATATGGAGTGCTTCACACCTGGTGCTCAAATCTGGTTCAGCCCCAAAGAAGCCACATATAAAGGCCAGAAGAGATATGATCTATTCACCTCTTTTGTCTTGGAAGAATCTGGAGTCACTGGATTTGGGGGTAAAGGTAGGGCCCGATTTCCCTGCCCTGTACTGAAAAAGTGCTCAGCCATAGAACACCTCCCCACCTCCTTTTGACCTGGATTGGGTTAGGCCATCTCCAAAGTCTAGGAGCACAGGGAGGGATATGGAAGATCCGAAGGCATGGAAGCCAAGGAAGCATGACATTGTAATAGGAAAGAAACAAGGACAGAGAAACCCACCCTTGGGAAGAACGGAATCCAAAGCCATGCTTCCAGGCTGGTGGGTCAGATATCACAATGGTCTGGTCCGGGCCCTGGGCCACAGAGAATGGAATGTGCTAGGAAGCATCTGGGGAAGGGCTTAGAGAAAGCTTCAGAACGAGCAGGCATCAGTAGGTGAGAGATGGTTTCCCCCAGGTTTACAAATCAGGGGAGCAGGTTAGACATTCAGAGCTGGTAGGGCTGTAAGTAGAGATTCAGGTAAGTATATTGCTCAGTTGCCCCAAGGGCTGGGGAAGGGACAGGAGCTGGCTCTTCCCCTCTCAGGGGCCATTCCCTGGAAAGACTGAGAGGGGAACCACCGGAAATCCCTTCTCAGGGGTGGGGAGACTACAATCACACAAAGCAGCCTGACTCCTGAGCTCCAGGGCCCCCCCGAATCCCTGCATTAGAGTGTGATGGGGCTCCCAAGGGGCAGGGGGGCCAGGGAGCTGCTAGTGGTGGGGGCCCAGGGAGGGTGGCATCTGGCGAAAGGGGGATCCGGCCTTAGTGCTCACCCCACGTCTCCCTTTTGGGTTCTCTCAACCCCTGCCGGTCCCCCTACTCCCTTGGGGGGAACTGGCAGAGGAAGAGTTGGGGGAGGTGGGGTTGGTGGAGTGGGGGGTGCTGCTTGAGGGTTCACTGCGTAGCCAAAGACCCCTGGCAGGAAGGGGAGGGCCCCCCCACCCTTCTCATCAGGTAGGACCATGTTGAGAGCAACTGGAAGAGCGGCCAAGTTGCTGAAGTTGTAAGGGTAGGCAGCAAGGAGCTGAGGGCCATAGACAAGCGGGTAGGGTTCAGGGTAGAAGGTGACTTTGGCAGTCCCCATCCCCTCCATCCGGTCTCCCTCAGAAGCTCCCATGGGGCCCTCATTCCCAGATTTTCCTCTGCCACCGCCGGGCTCCCGGCTGCCTCCTATCAGAGCCAGGGGGAATTCCTGCACAGGTGGGTACACGTAGCTGCCCCCACCTGCTCCTGGGGGCTCCTCACCCCCAGAGATGACAGGGTCCTGGAGTGAGGCCGTTCCAGGAGCTTCAGCAACAGCAGCAGCGCTGGCAGCGCCCGCCTCCCCACTTGACGAGGACACCTGCATCTCCTGGGGAGCCTCCTCCTTGACATCGCCGGCCCTGGCGCCGATGCTGCCTTTGGAATAGGCAATGACAGGGGTAGGGGTGCCCCCCGGCCGCTCCACCGCATGCCTCTGCCCATGTCGGTTCAGGGCAGCTGCTGTCTTGCACACCTTGGCACAATGGGGGCAGGCGAATCGGGTGGAAGACCTCCTCCCAGTCCTGGAGCTGTGGGAGCCCTCGCTGTGGGCTTCCTGGTGCTTCCTCAGCTTCCTCAGAGTGGCAAAGGTCTGGGCACAGTCCCCACAACGGTGCCTGCGTTCACCACGTCCTCGTCCTCCTGGGCCCTCCACCGGCGGGGTCTCCTCCCAGGCTCTTCGTTCCAGCTTCTGCCTCCAGCGTGGTGGTCTCCGTCCTCGGGGCGGTCCGCTGACCCCGCTGACCCCGCTAGCAGCAGCTCCAGCCTTACGCTTAGGCTTGTATGAATAGTAGGGCCTCCAGAGCTGATCTTCCCCTCCAGCCTTTGATTCCTCCTGGTCCTCCTCCTCCTCCTCTTCCTCTTCCTCACTCTCCTCTACTTCTTCTCCACTCAGCTCTCCAGGACGCAGGTCAGTTTCTGAGATGCGACGCTTGACAATGGCTTCCTCCCCAATCCGCACAGTGATCTGACACAGTGGAGGTGGGGCCTGAAGCTGAGAGGAGCCTCGGCCTGTCCCTGGGGGGGAACCCCCACTCCCACTGACCCCGCCCACGGGTTTGGCTGTGTAGGTCAGAGTCCTCCCAGCCCGCAGATTCCGGCCCTTGGCCTCGTCCGCGGCTGAGGCTGGCCCTGCAGCCGTGGCTGGGCAGGTGGGGGTTGCTGCAGGCTCAGGGGGAGGAGGTGGGTACTCGCGTTTCTTGGGGGGTCTTGGAGGAGTCGTATAAGTGATGACTGAGGCAGCTTGGGACCCTCCCGTGCCGGCTGGCCCACCCCCGGCTCCACCACAGCCACTGCTCCCGTGGACAATGACAGAGGGAGCGGGGTGAGCAAAGGCAATGACGGAGGCAGGAGGACCAGGCTCTGGGGCAGGTGGGGGGAGGGCTGGGGGGGTGGCTGGCATTGCTGCAGGGGCCGGTGTGTGGAGGCGTGGAGGAGGAGGGCCCTCGGGGGCTCCCTGACTGTAGGTCTTGTAGGGCCGCTTGGCTGCCCGCATGGGGAGCAGGCGGTACAGCTTGAGGGTATTAAGCTTGGGCTTGTAGCCTCCATTGGGTGTCTTCTCACTGGCTAGGAGGCCGGGGCTAATGCCATGGAAGGCTCGCTGGTGGGTCTTCAGGTTATAATAGGTGACAAAGGTTTCCCAGCAGAAGATGCACTGGTACCTGGGCCACGACAGCAGGGAACAGGGCGGGAACAGCCACTTGAGTTACAGCCCTGAAAACAGGGCCTCATCCTGCCCTGTCATCTACAGCCCTCCGACTTCTAACGTCCCAGGAACTGTCCATCCTCCCTTCCTGCTGGGGGCCCGGCTACCCTGGCTAGCTGACTCAACTCCGCCTCAGCTGTTCTCGTGTGAAATGGGAACAGTCATCGATTTAAGTCCTCAGAACGCCTGCTGTGGTACAGACGACAAAATGAACATGCTAAGGGGATCCGGTGCTGTTCTGCGTGCTCTAAGCCCCACCGGGAGGCCTGTGCTCCCACAGTCCTCTCTGCGAGGGCAAACTTCCCTGTCCACCATCCTAGCGTGTCCCGTAGCACGCAGCCTGGCCGGGCAGGCAAGTGGTGGCAGTGAGCTGGCACCAGGACAAGAGGCGATCCAGTGTGGAGGGACGGCTTTCTAGAGCCCACCCCCTGCCCACCGCTCCCTGGTCCACCCGCGTGGGTCGGTCGGTGGGTCACTCACCTGCGCTCTCCCGTGTGCCACACCTCGTGCTTGGTGCGGTACTCGGCCAGGGCAAACACCTTCTCGCAGTAGCGGCAGGGGTACTTCCTCCGCCACGAGTGGACATTGCTGTGCCGCTTGAGGCTGGACAGGGTCACGTAGGAACGCTCACAGGCCGCACACACATAAAGCACATGGCCGCCCACCACCTTCACCACATGCTCGGGGCCGTCTCTGAAGCCCACGGGTGGTGGCAGGGCCGAGGCATCCACTCCTGCAGGACCCCCAGGGCCAGCGCTCCCGGCTCCCAGGCCTGCCGGGCCCCGGGTGTTGGACCCCCGCCGACACTGGGCCTCGTGTGTCTGCAGCCTCTTGGGGTGGATGAAGCTTTTGCCACATCGCGGGCAGGGGAAGGGCCGCCGGGACAGGGAGGGCTGGGAGTCGGGAGCCGGGGGCTCAGCCTTGTCGCCCACCCACTCGCCGTCTGGTCTAAGCCCTGGCCCCAAACCGTCCTCTTCAGCATGTGAGGTGGCCAGGGGCGGTGGAACAGGGGGTACCCAAGTATCACCTCCTTCCCCCAGGCCCTGCAGGCGGGAGATACCCAGCCGCCGCCCCAGAGCTCCGATTTCTGCCACAGCCGCCCCATCCCCTCCGCCGTCCGGGAGCGCGAGCCGGGCACTATAGATGAAGTTGAGGACGTCGGAAAAGGCAGCCGCTGGGACCCCGGGCAGCTCGAGGACCCGTGGAGGGGACGAGGAGTGAGGGGAGGCTGGAGTCGGGGGTGAGGAGGAGGAGGAGGAGGCGGCAGCTGTGGCGGTCGCGGGGCTGGGAGCTGCGCCTCCGGGGAGCGGCGGGAGCGGCAGCGGCGCCGAGGCAAGCAGGGCTTCTCTGAAGAAGGGGCTGGAGGCGGCCAGGACGCTGCGGTGAGCCGGGAACTTGGTGTCTCCAGCGATGAGGGTGACGTCACAGAAGAGGCCGCGGAGCCGCTGCTCATTGAGCTGATGCAGGACAGCGGGGGCGTGGGACGGGTCCGTCACCTCTGCAGGGGGTGGCATGGTGCCAGCCTGGACGTGGGGAGAAGAGGCCAGGGAGAGCCTCAGAGGCTGGGCAGAGGTCAGGAGCCTCTGAGACCAGGGAGATGAACGGAGGACAGTTGGAGGCTGGTCAGAATCTGGTGGAAGGCTGAACAACTCACGTCACAGGAGTCATGGGTTAAAACAAGGCACCCAGAATCGAACCAATGTCCAAGACCAGCATGTCTAACATCTGGGCCAGAAGAGACCAGGGATAACTCAGCTCATAGTGAAGGTCAAGTGGTCATGACCTCCAGATACACAGTAAGCCGTACAAGGGGGAAGCTTTCCACACTCAAGCATTTTTCAGTACTGGACAAAATGGCCGCCCCGGCTGGCCCCCGGCCCGGGTCTCCCCCTTCCTAGCTGCTGTCCTCCCAGCACCCTCTCACCTGAGAACATAGCCAACATGGAGCAGAGTAATGGCTCAGCAAGTTCCTTCAGCCTGGCGTTTTCCTTCTGCAGAGAAACAGAGATTGTGTCAGAAATCAAGAGGAGAGAGGACAGGGTCCCCACAAGGAAAGGCTCCAGGACGTGGGCATCAGCACATCAGTCAGAGTCACAGGCACATAGGCTGCTCTGAAAACCCTGATCCCTCCCGGGAGCCTGTCAGGCTATGTGGCCAAATCCAATCAGACCAAGGAGGCCACAGATTATCGCTGAGCCTTGCTCTGCCGGCCCTGAGGAGGACAGACAGGATAATTTGCATATCCCCAATTCACCTCCACAGGGCAGCACAGTCCAATCCACAGGCAGAACAGGCTCACAGACCTTTCTAATCCCTTTGGCCCAATCTTGAGACTCAAAGAAATCAAAGATTTGCCACTTTTTACTTAATCGCAGCGGGCTCATTTACATATCAAAATAGAGCTTCCCCCCCCTCCCCGCCCCCAACACACACCCTGGCCTAACCTGATTAGGTTCTCACATTAGGAGTGTGCCTCCTCATATACACCACAGACCCAGAAACCTTAGTGGGGGGGGCTTTCCAGTCCAGGTATCGGGTGACCGCCAGCACACATGCCTGCTTGCTCTAGTCTCCAGCACACACTGGGAAGGTGGCCAGACCAAGAGTGGGGGGCTTTAGGTCCTGCTCCTTACTCTGAGACCCTTGGCTTATGGATTTTGTCTTTAAAGCTGGGGATGGGTTACCCCTACCTCACCTCTTGCTGAGGTTCATCCAAATGGAACAGTAGGCAACCCAAACGTCAGCTATGATAATCATGAGCTGGGCACTGCAAGTCTTAGGTTCCTAATTTTCAGCTGAGGATCTGAGTTCCGGAGTCAGGCCCGTCCCTTCTCCAAAGTCACATGGCTGGTGACAACAGGAGAGACTGCCTGGGTCCTTCTCATCCACCCTCCATGCGGCCAGGACGTTCTGGCCCCTTCCACATGCCGTGGGTCACACATATCCTCATTAGTATCCCACATCGGAAGCTCCTTGACTAATTCTCATCACCCCCAAAATGTTCTTTTCTCCTTGATTACTGATATTCTTCGACTAAAGGCTGTACCTCATGTCGTGTTCCCTAAGAGATGGCTGTACCACATGTCGTGTTCCCTAAGAGATGGCTGATGCCCGTTCCGGACAAGAGGAAGGTGGTCAACAGGACAGTAGCCCGAGGTTGTGACCACAGGCCTGGCACAGAACAAGAGCCAAGTGTTGCCCCATTTGCTGCCGCATTGTGGGTATGGCGAGAGTTCTGGGGACAGATTCCCACCTCATCTGTTGTCTGTAATCCTTGTCTCTTACTCCCTTCTATGAAGGCCTCCGCACTGTTATCTGCATTATTTCACTTTTCCTCATCACTTAACGTGGGCTTCTCCACGTGAAGATAAAAGGCACTCAGGCGTGCTAGGTAGCTTCTCAAGGCCGTCTAGCCAGTTAGTAGCTAGGCTGGGGTCTAGCCCTATAAAGGGTGTTAACAGCCCCCATTGGAACACTGCTAGCCTACCTAGAACTTCCGTGAGAATTAGGTGGCTCCTTCTTCTAGGAAGAAACGTAAAGGTGAGCAAAGTCGGTTTGACTCCAGTTCCCACGCACCCCTGAGGCCGGCCAGGCCTGCCCACCTGCACCACGTTACAAGGTGGGTGCCTGCAGGTGTGCTCCCGTGTGTGGACTGCCATGGTGTGGGACAAAGCCTGTTGGTGCTTCTGAGATCTGAACAGACCAAAACTGGCCTGGCGCTTAGCGGTCACCCAGAATCATTATCACAACAAGCTTTAGAGCTGTCGTTTACTAATGGGCAAAGTATAGCAAAATATGTTATGCACACCATCTCATTTTAACACTCAAAATAACCACCGTGGAGAGGTCAGGCACTGCAAACTCGTCCTCAGGTCAAGGGAGTGTGCTGGTGCAGTGATCAGTTCCTGGCTCTGCTGCGTGCTCCCCTGGAGTCTAGAGCAGTTCAACTGTCCTATCACTGGCCAGTGCCCTGAAAGGGGTCATGGGAGATGAAGACACTTGCTATGTGATCCTTTATCTCAGTTTCCTTGTCTGTATGGAGAGGGTGATAAATAGTTCCCACTGTGCAGGGTAGTGGTAAAGATAACATGAGCTAATAACTGGTAGACTCAACCACCAGGGATCAACAGGATTCCAAAACACTGCTCCTCCACAAACACACAGGCTTTATTCTCTTGTGATTCGTCTCTCCACAACACAATAGAACAACTATTTAAACAGGTGTGGTGGAACAGAACGTGCTTGTAAGCCCAGCACTGAGAAAGAAGAAGCAAAAGGATCACAGCAAGTTCAATGCCAGCCTGATCAACATAGCAAGTATCAGGCCAGCAGACCCACATAGGAGAACCCTGAATCAAAGCAAAATAAAACAAAATCTCCCAAAACTATTTATGTGGAATTTATGTGATATTAAACATTTTAAGGAGAGATAAAATAAATGGGAGGACATACATAATTTAGATGCAACCACTATACCATTTTATTTATTTTGAGACAGGGTCTTATATAGCTCAGACCTTGAATTGGTCAAGGATGGCCTTGAACCCCTTCCTGATTCTTTTGACTCTACCTCCCCAGTGCTGGGATTATAGAAATTCATCATTTTATATTTTATATTAGCAACTTGAATACCTAAGGATTTCAATACCCATGGGGCACTCTAGACCCAATCTCTCGTGGATACTGAGAGATAACTGTGCCGAGTCTTGGAACTTAGCCCTGGAAAATGTGAGAAAAGTGATGAAGAAAAAAAGGCAGAATCTGGGCTTCAAGATGAATTTGGTGGTAGGCTAGAGACATGGCTCAGCAGTTAAGAGCACGGGCTGTTCTTCCAGAGGACCCTGGTTCAATTCCCAGCACCCACATGGCAGCTCACAACTGTCTGTAACTCCAGTCCCAGGGAATCTCATGCCTTCTTCTGACCTCCATGGGCAGCAGGCTGGTACTTGGTACACAGACATGCATCCAGGCAAAATACTCATACACATCAAGTAAATAAACAAATATAACTTTGAAAGGATGAATTTGGTGGTTCTGTGGTTTTAAAGTTTTATTTGTTTGTCCTTATTGTTTTTCTTTTCTTTCTTTTTTTCCTGAGATAGGGTTTCTCTGTATAGCCTTGGCTGTCCTGGAACTCGCTTTGTAGACCAGGTTGGCCTCGAACTCACAGAGATCCGCCTGGCTCTGCCTCCTGAGTGTTGGGATTAAAGGCAGGTGCCACTACTGCCTGGCCCATTTCTCTACGCTTACCTGACTGAGGTCCCTCCGAGGTGCCACTGAGCACATACACGAGGATGCTTCCTTCCTTCCTGCTGTGGTCCCCAACCGGATTGTTCTTTCCCCCAGGTCACCGCAAACCTCATGTTCTAGTCCTTTAAGCTGTGACTCAAGTCACCCTGCTTAGGGGCCTTCCCTGCCCCCTTCCCGCTTTCTCCCTACCCTGATGCATTCCCTGTGTAGCTCAGGAAATAAAACACACTGCTCGTTAGCTCTAGAATGTGGGCTCCAAGGAGGGCAGGGGTAGGGATTTCTGACTATGCTGTTTGTTCAAGGATCTTGTTCTTAGAACAGTGCCTAGTGCATAATGAGAGGTTAGAAACATCTAGAGGCTGCAGGAGTAGAACGATGACAGGACACCTCCCTAGCATGGCCTCGGGTCCCACCCCGGCCCAGAAGAATGCCGGGAGATGCCAGAATGGCAGGGTTTTGGTAAGGGAAAGAATTTGTGTTGGTGGCAAAAACCTTTAATCTCAGTACTCTGGAGGCTGGGTCCAGAAGATCATGGGTATGAAGTTAGTTTGGGCTATATAATGAAACTTTTCTAAAACAAATACAACTATTCTTCCTGGAGTCTCTCCTCTCAAAAAAGAAGCCATCCTTGGAGCTGAGGATGATGACCATACCTCGATGTTTGAGACACTCAGTTTGCCTGACACATTTCTAGAGGCTTAATATACATGGTCTCAATTATATCCTCACAGCCACCCACAACAGACCACCGTAGGGATTTATAGTCTCCCAATTTTACAGAGAAGGAAACTGAGCCTCGGAGAGGAGAAGCCTTGTTCAAGGTCACATAGATTATAACAGCCAAAACTTGAATCCAGGCTTGGATGACACCAGACGCTGAAGCTTTCCCTCTGCCATACTGCTGGATCCTGCCCTGAAGAGCCTATAGCAGGCCAGCCGGTTACATAAATCACCACACAAACTCTCACGTGCTACGTGTTAACTGTGTCACATCTGACTCCACCCTTTCCCTGGCTCTCAAATCCAGCCGTCACCAAGTCCGGCTGACACTGCATGGAAATGGCTTGCAAGCCTTCTCCAGCCCCTCTGGCCGCCAAACTAGTTCAAGCCCTTGTTGAGACTCACAGGGTCAAGGCCAGGGACCACCTGCTGTCTGCTTGCCTGTAAGTTTACCCTCCCACCTGCCGTCTCCCACTGAGAGAGCGTCCTCAGCTCTAACTGCAGTTTAGTGTGACTCCCGGCCTGAAGACGTCCTTGGAAGCAGGGGCTGGTAGCTCGTGCCTGTAACCCCAGCACTCAGAAGGACTGCAAAGAGGTCAAGGCCACCCTGGGCTACATATTGAGACCCTGTCTAAAAAACACAAAAGCAGGCCGGGCAGTGGTGGCGCACGCCTTTAATCCCAGCACTCGGGAGGCAGAGCCAGGCGGATCTCTGTGAGTTCGAGGCCAGCCTGGGCTACCAAGTGAGCTCCAGGAAAGGCGCAAAGCTACGCAGAGAAACCCTGTCTCGAAAAAACCAAAAAAAAAAAAACACAAAAGCTAGGACAAGAGAGCTCAAAGGGTATAGGCAATACCCATACCCCACATCGTGGAAACCTGAATCCCCAGAGTCCATGTGGTAGAGGGAGAACCTCCTCTTGTACGCTGTCCTCCGGACACTTATGTGTGCATGTGGGCAAACACAAATAAATGTAACTGAAAAAATCCGGGCTGGGGAGACAGTTCTGTGAGTAATAGCACTTGAGTTCAAACCCCTAGCGCCCACATAAAAAACTGGGGCGTGGCTCTGTACCTGTCACCCGGCATTGGAGGGCAGAGACAGGTTGAAGGCTCACTGGCTGGTCAGCCTATCCAAAATGGCAACTTCTGGGTCCATGTCAGACCCTTTCTCAAGCCAATGAGGTGAAGGGCAATAGAGGAAGACAACTAATGTCTTGTCCTGGTCTCCACATGTGCACTGGGCACTTGTACCATTGCACATTCAAGTGCGTGAAATACACACACACAAATACACACTCACTCACACACACATTTAATGCCCTTTCCTTGACCTCGTCCCAACATCCCTCCAAACTGTTTAAGACTGGACTAAAATGCATCTCCTCCTTTGCCCTTTATGACTCAGGAGACAAGGACAATCCTCCTCCTGATTTTAATCAATGTGCAGTGCCCCATGACAGCACCCACAATGCAAAGCCACAGATACTCAGTCTCACACTCGGGGCCGAGGCTCTTGAGAGCACTGTCTATGATACGGGTCTTCAAAAACAGATTGGTGAAGGGCTGGAGAGACGGCTCAGCAGTTAAGGACACTTGTTCTTGAAGAGGACCCAGGTTCAATTCCCAGTATCCATATGGTGTCTCACAACCATCCACAACTCCAGCTGCAGAAGATCCAACATCATCTTCTGACCTAAGGCACCACGTGGTGCAAACACATACATATGAGCAAAATATTCATACCGATAAAAGGAATAAATCTTTTAAAAACTTTAAAAAATATATATCGGTAAGCCAGGTGTGATGGATGACTCAAGCCTATAATCCCAGTATTCAGGAAGTTGAGGCAACAAGATTGCCAAAAATTAGAGGCTAATCTTGGCTAAAGAGTGTTACCCTGTCTCAAAAAAAAAAAAAAAAAAAAGAAAAAGAAAAAAAGGCAGCGAGATGCTCTGCACAGACTGTGACAGACTGTGGTGTGTGTGCTGGCATGTGCATGCTGAAGGTTCCAGAAAGCAGCAGAGGGCAGGAGTCAAGAGACAAGATCTGGAGCCTCACCACTCCTCACTACCCAAGTGACTCGGGGCAAAGCACCTCACTTCTCTGGGTTTCAGTGGGGTGCCAGAGTGAGGAACGGATGAGTGACGGTACGGAAAAGCCTGGGAACGGTGCCGGTACAGTCAGGGCAAACCGACTGTTTACGGCTACTGTTACTAGTGAAGCCGGGAGCAGGGGAGTCTCCGCTGCAGGGGGGGGGGGGGGGGGCTGGCCCAGGCCTCGTCTCTAATCTGTTGCTATATGTCGGGTCTATTTTCCACTTGCTGTTGGAAGATCTGTAGGGCAGTCATTAGCCCCATCTTGTAGATGTGGAACAGGACACTCAGAATGTCCCAGGAGGACATCGTAGAGGTACCAGAACACTTCAGCTCCAGTGCAGAGCTCCCGTCCTGCACCTGTCCTGCAGGCCTCCTAGGCAGCCAGCGCCATCACCCATTACAGAGGATACGGCCCCAAAGCCCTCACACTCCCCCCTGTACACAGGCTGGATGCCGGGCACAGTGTTGTGCACAAATGGTGAGCACACACGTGTATCTCCCACCTGCACAGAAGGGCCCAGGCCCCAAAGGTGGGGAAACCTGTTCCGAAGAATCTGCTTAGTGAGCAAATTCTGTCCAGAGCTCTCCCACTGTCACAGGAGTAGGGCCCCATGTGCGTCAGAGACACCCGCAAGGGGGGCAGAGAAAGGGAGAGGGCGAAGCAGGGGGAGGAGACGAAACACTTCACGATCCTTTTTTCCATTTTAGTGACAAAAGTCACACGCGGCCTTTACATAAACATGGCCAAGGAGCCACTCTGTCTAAACTCACTTCCCTTGTAGGCGCCAGGACTTTCCTCCCCATGGCCCTGACATGCTGGGTGAGGGGCAAACACACACACCCTGCGAAAGCACAGTGCCACCCAACAGCACCCATGCCTGCCGCTCTTGCTCTGGCTAATATTTATCTCCCGACCTTCCCGAACATCTCCCGGGCAGCCCTACCCGGCCACTTAAGCGCACAGAAGGTAGCCGTGCATACAAAGCTGTCCACTGGTCTTCTGGGGCCGAGGCCCACACTGCCCTTGTCGGGCCACCTCCTCCCAAGTGTTTTCTGACCAGCTCAACTCCCAGCCCAACAGCCCAGACAGGCTCCCACAAACAACGTCACAAAGAATCCCGTGGAGAATGTTGCAAACACGCACCCTGCCCTTTGCTTGGCCGCCCAGGATCCCGTAAACCCATCTTGCATGTCCCACCCGGAGGCCCTCAGTGCCAGCGGACCACAGGCTTCAGTTTCTCGTGCTCCTGCTGAGCAGCAGATTTGAGTCGCAGACAAGCGGCCCCCACGAAACTTGCCCATCACCAACACACAATCCATCCACCCTCTGTCCTCTCCACAACTGGGCCACACCTCATCAGGACTACAGAAACGGAACTCAGGCGTGAGACCTTCTGATGCAGAGGTCCACAACTGCACTCTTCAAATGGGTACAAACACACACACTCCATGCCAGCTATACAGAAAACAAACATTCATAAACATTCATATGTGCAACACAAGACATTCGTACAAGAAAACACATGCTGGCAAAACTACGCACAGAACCCCAGACACCACACTCAAGGTATCTGTCGCCTAAAGCCACAGGGCCATATCCTGTAATTCTGTACCAGTGAGTACCCCTCCTGGCTTTCTATCTCTATGTATCAGGAAGGGCTCCAGCAGACCCCTTGCTGCCAGACTAGCCAACGATGGTGCCCAGGAGCAGTTTACCTTGCCCCACAGCACCGTAGGAGGCACAATCTCCAAGACTCACAGCCACAACCCTGCCCCGACGGCGCGGCGGTTCCGGGCCCCTGCTCGCACTGCGCACCCTGTACACCCCAACTCTGGGGCGCCCAGAGGGCCACCCCTCCCCCTCTCTGCCTGGCTCCTACGCCATCGCTCTCCCAGAAGGTTGCAGCGCTTGCCTGGGATCACACCCGCCCCACCCCACCCCCAACCTGCCCCACAGAGGGAGGGGGACATTGGGCTGCAGAATTTAACCCTTCATAGGTGGAGTGATTGCGACCCTCTCCACGGCCCCAGGAGACCGAGGCCCCCAGCCGCGGCTAGCTGGACGCCATACCAGGGCGCCCTAAGTCGCTCCCCAGCGCCGTGCGCGCCCGGGGGCGGGGCCTATTCCAGCCCCCGACCCCTGCGCCCCTAGATCAACCTGGAAGGGGAGCGGTCGCGGGGCGCGGCCCGGGCCCCCGCGGCGCCGGGCAGCGGAAAGAGGGGGCCAAGGTAGTTGGCTCCCGTCCGCCCTAACCCTGCCCGGTTCGCCCCGGGGCCAACCTGACTGCGATGGCGCCGCGTCCGCCAGGCCGGGCTCATCACCGTGGCCGCCCCCGGCCACTCGGGTTTCGCCCTCCTCCAGCTCCGGCTCCAGCTCCTGCCC